ACAGAGGGACTGAATATAGAAGGCTTGGGTAATCACCTTTAGAGTTTCAAATATGCGCATCAGTAAATATACATCATTTATAGCATTTCACATATTTACATTAGAGACAGACATTAAAATAAACTTTAGCTTCTGCATAAGTTTTCCTTGGATTACCCCTGTTTAATTGTTCCTATTTTTCAAGGAATTATTTTCAAACAATTAAATATAATAATTACGTTCTTTAAAGCAAATTGATAGTTAATAAACCAACTCTTCTAAAGAAATTACTTGACTTTTCTAATCTAAAACTTAAAAAAATTGAAATGCTTTTTGGCATACCAGTTATGCCACCAATATGCTATCATCATTTTTTAAGTTTATGTGCTCACTGATCTGTTTCTGTATAATAACTTTGCTAGTCTGTGCTTATGACCTTAATTAATAAGGAAGTTGGCAAGTAGTTAGTTGGTTTTAAGGAAGATCGTGATGAGTTTAAGCTACTGGCAAATCATCCAAATGGAAAAGTTCCACGTGGGGGCGCCTGGGTGGTTCAGTCAGTTAAGCCTCCGACTTCAGCTCAGGTCATGATCTCACGGTTCGTGGGTTCGAGCCACGCATCGGGCTCTGTGCTGACAGCTCATGGCCCAGAGCCTGTTTCAGATTCTGTGTCTCCCTCTCTCTCTGCCCCTCCCCTGCTCATGCTCTCTCTCTCTCTCTCAGAAATAAATAAAACATTAAAAAAAAAAAAAGGAAAAGTTCCACATGGATATGAGGTCATCAGGAAAATAACTTAGAAATTCAATGACACATTTACTAACCTCTAACTATATACACCAGAAGTGTTCTAGAATCTATACAGAAAGGACAATAAAGGCAATGTTTGGACAGAACCTTAAAGAATGAATCAATTTAGGAAAGAGGCCATCCTATAGAAGAGAGAGCTGTGGAAAATGAGAGAAAAAAAATGAAAATTGGGTAGTGTCTTCAAAGCCACAGTAGCAGATCGATGTACCCAATTCTCCAGAGAGCCAAATATATGGGGATTTAGAGAAAGCCAGAGGCCAAGAAGGGCGATCATACATTAACCACTTTTAATGAATTAAAAAATGCATTTTTTCAAGCAGATACTAATCAATATGGTTTATAAAGTATGTTGTTTTAAACACACACACACACACACACACTATAAACACTTTCAAATATTATGTGCCTTGCTCATTAAAGCAGTCATCAGAGAAAATTTCATCTTTCCTAAGCACAAAAATGCAAAGAGTCATTGTGAAATCAGCAAACTACAGTAATCAACTATGTCTAGTATTTTCCTGACATTATCAACCACATAATGAGACAGGACTTGTGGTTTACATAGTCCAAATCAGCTATCATTTCTCCACTATCCAGATTTAAACCATAAATTAGCAGCACAGTCACTACGACAGGCTTCACCCATCATCATTTGCATCCAATCAGTTAATGACTGGCAGCTGCCTATAGGACCCATTACTGAAAGCAACAGCTTTAATGTATAATGCTTCACGAGGCTTAAAATCATATTCTGTTAAAGCACATGGTAGTCTGAAGTACTCTAAAAATTTGCAAAGGCTTTCAAAGGAGGGGAAAAAAAGCTCTAACTCAATGAAATAACTGTAATCTCTGACAACCTTAAAAAGAACTGGCTTTAATGGGTTTCTAATCTTTTGCTAGACTCAAATAACATAGGAGACTAAGAAAAATTTACCTAAAGGAAGATTACTACCAGTCTCATAATTGCTAAGGAAGTAATTGTAGCCAGCATTATTATTAACATGTTATAAATAGAAAAACATAAAAAAACCTAGTTTTGTCTTGTATCAAAATGGAAGCATGTGTCATGGAAGGGAATCATGGAATCCCAAACTACCTCTATTTCCAATTCCATCCCTCTTAATTATGAAGTATATCTTAGTTCCTGGTCTATCAACAGAGTAATATTTTACAGTTTCATCTTCTTCAATGCATGCACATTGTATCTCTAAAACTGATTAAAAATTCTTTAGGGAGAAAGATTATGACTTTAACATTTATTATTCAATACATTCATTACCACATGCCTTCTCTTCTCTAACAGGCAAGAAAGCAGAAGCATGGAGGTCAAATGAGAGGCTTTGAGGCTTTCAGTAATCATCTCATGAAAGATGATGGTACGTTGGGCCATAGTGATAGTAGTGGAGGTGATAAGAAGTAACCAAGTTCTGGACATATTTTTAAAGACAGAGCCAAGAAAAGTTGCAGATGGAATGGATGTCAGTGTTATAGAAAAAAAGAAGGTATGGAGGACTCTCAAGTAGTCATCAGAGCTCTGGGAAAATGGGAGTCCCATCAACTGAAACGGTAAAGGCTTTGAGTAAAACAGGGGTACAGGTGATAGTGGTGGGGTTGCAGGGCAGGGAGAGTGAAGGGGTACAGGGTTCTAGAATTCAATTTTCAATTTTTTTTTTCAGAGAGAGAGAGAGAGAGAGCGAGCGAGCAAGTAGGAGAAAGGGGAAGAGGTATACAGAGAATCTTAAGCAGGCTACACACCCAGCACAGAGCCAGACACAGGGCTGGACATCACCATGGTGAGATCATGACGTACGCTGAAATCAAGAGTCAGACGCTTAACCAACTGAACCACCCAGGCGCTCCCCAGGAATTCAATTTTTGATGTTTCAAACGACATATAATACTAATCAGTCATATATTCATTTAGTAATACTTGGAGCACCTAAATATTACTATAGCACTTCTTAAGTACTAGGAAGGAGACAGGAAAATACATTGGAAACCAAGGAAATGCTTAATAATTGTTTCACTGAGTGAATGGATGAAGAACCAAGCATTTTAACCATGTCACCAAAATAACTTAATCAAAATCAAAATCATAACTGTCAAATGTATATTAGCCAAATATATCTAGAAATGTATCTGGAAAATATCTAGTTTACAAAATGCTTTCCACCTATACCGGGACAGGAACTGCTACTTATACTCTAGCATCTGAGCCTTTGCCTTCCCTTTCTTCAAGAGGAATGAAATTTGGCTCGGATACTTGGCTTCTCAGAAATAAGATAACATTTCCCAGCCTTCCTTGCAGCTAGGTGTGACCAATAGTCCATAAGCAAACATGGTGTGTACAATTTCCGTGATACACTCTTAAAGAGAATGGGCACACCCACCATTTGCTCTTTTCTCTTTCTTCCTGTTAGTTGAAGTGCTGATGTGATAATGAGCCATCTTGGACCATGTGGACAGGGTGACAGTACCAAGATGGCAAGAGAACAAAAGACTGGGAGCCCAGATCCTGAAAACCCATGGCGCCATCTTATCAGCTCTGGGCTGCATATACTTAAGATTGGTACATGAAAAGAATAAAGCTTCTATCTTAGTTAACTCACTATTATCTTGGCTCCTTGTTACAGTAGTTTAACCTGAAACTTAACCAATAAATTTAATAAATCCTCAGAACCACTTTGTGATGAAATTAACATACTAGGTGTTTTTATGTTTCATTCCTTACAATGTATCAGGTTTTAAACAGCAGGAAAATAAACTAGCAACATAGCCTGGCTTTATATACTTTCATTTACCAGTGAAGAAAAACCAGCTGCAAAGCATTCTGTGAGAACTGATTGCAACATTTTTTATAGCAAGAATTGGGTTTATGCATTCACTAAATCGTTCAGCATTCACTACTACAAAAGCCACATGGTAAAGATTTGTTTCCACAAAAACTGAGGAATTCTCTGCTATACACTAGTTCAATTTTAATGTTTCTACTCCCATTAAAAACCCTGTAATCTATTAGGTATTACAAGTACCAACAATAACCTCCTTGGCTTAAAGAAATGAGTAGCTGCTCGCTGAACTCTTGACTTAATTGGTAATCAGATAAACAGAGTTGCTTCGGGGGTATCTAGATCTTTGGAGATATATATATATATATATACACACACACACACACACACCAATATCCATCAGTAGGTCATTCCATACATTTGCAACAGCTTTACACTTTCAGCATTTGAATACTGGTAGAGAACTGTGTTGAAAAAAAGTAAAAACAGCCCAGTTCAAATACTATTCAGCTACCATAATTTAAAAGATAAGTAACATTAAAAATGGTTTATGAAGAACAGAACTAGTTGGCGCTATTTACTATGATCTATTTCTGCACTTAAAGGTGTACTTGTTTTCATTTAATTGCTCTCTGGCTTCTATCATTTCATTGCCTTAACCAGAGAAATCACTCTAACAGCTTTGACTACTCATTTATGCTTTAAGGGAGACTTTCTGTTCTGGCTATAGATTCTGTGATTTGCTAAAATAGTTTTCTAAATCAAAACCATTATGAAATATATGATCAATCTTATTGTAGAGTGACGTTTATTTCCCTAAGTGACTTAAGAACTCTTTGGTAAGAATGTGCTAAGTGCCTGGCAGTATCCAGGTTACTTAGCCTCTCAGCAAAGCTAAGGATGACTCATGTTGTACGCGTGCACACTGACACCTAGAGACACAATTCCAAGATTCAGAGGTAGCCTGACTTCCAAATCTTTTAAAGATGCCATTGCAAGTCTTATGCTCTTTCCTCAGGCGATGTTTGGAAAACAGGAAAGCTAAAATATACTCAAGAGGGACAGCCTGACTTTCATTACATGATGAAAGAGATGATGTCTATGTAAGTATTTAAAATACAGAAACCAAGCATTTTTTTCTAAATTCTTACGACAGTCAATACTTTTACTCAAGCATTCTAATTCCTCTGGACAAATGTAGTCAAGAACATAAGAAAATACTTCCCTATTCCAAATATGTAATTCTGGATAGGTCTCTAAATTGACTGGACTGCTCATCTCTTCAAAAACTGAAATGAAAGAAAGATATGGGCATTGTGTAAAAGGGCCTCTTCATCCTAATCCTGTGTTCTCAGGCAAGAAACAAGGATACAAAAAAGCACAGTGAGTAAACTATCCAGGCAAAAGTAGAAAATAAAATATTACCTTTAGCTGGATTTACTTTGATCCCTGACCTATACAGCATTTCCTCATTCTGCCAGTCTCCATTCCTGACTGCAGTCTTCAGTCCATAGAAAACAATTAATGTAGCTATAGCATAAAAAATCAAGCTCTTGAGAAACCGCTTTTGGACTTTGACATGAAGGGCTCTGGCACCCACTGTGACGAGGAGGCAGAAACCCATACTAGGAATGTACAACACTCGCTCTGCAATGACAAAGCCCACATAGAAAAACAGGTTCGTGGCAGGAACAAAGGGTATTATTAACAAAGATAAAGAAAGAACAACAATGTTCTCGGTAGAAGGAAGTTGTGTTCTCTGTGATGCATTATTTTTAATGCCATTTTCTACTTGGGATGCAAAGCTGGGCTTCATCTCTGAGTTCCGGTACTCCACATCTGAATGGCAGCTATGGCCATTTGCATTCTGCTTGCCATTTGTTACAAATTTCCCATTGCATTCTCTTTCCACGCTTGGGCTCTTCAAGCCATAGTAGGCAAGGAGGAGGAGTCCAACATAGAAGGCCACAGTGTGTAGGTTTCTCCAATCACAAATTGTTTTGAGCAGAGGGACAGCATCCATTGACCAATCAAAACTGAGTGTATCTGGGCATAGCAACAGCCAGAGGTTCTTGGTTGGCAAGTAGAAGAAAGTGAGCGTCCGAGCCAAAAGGCTATCCGAATCAGCGGCTGGGTTGTCAGAGTTGGAAAAGCTTGGTGGCTTGTTTCCCATCCAGTATAATCGGGCACCCAAAAGTGAAGTCCCCCAGAAAGTTAACAAACTAATGCTGAGGAAAAGAGACAAGTTCTTCCTCTGAAACCAAAAGAGAAGGGGAAAAAAATTAAGTCCTTCAGCAATACAGCATGGGAAAACAACATTTAGACATGTAGTGGACAGTTAAAACCACATTAGGTCTTAAATACATGACTTTTATTTCCATCTCCCTTTAAACAAGCTTAGGGGATATTTAACATGAAAAACAATGGACTGTGGAAGCCTAATCAACATGTAACTTTTGATGAGCATTTTTTCCTCTTGTTCTAAAATACCAATAACAAAAGCTTCATTTTCTTGACCTCTATAAAATGGGTTGAATATATTTCCCTCTCAGAACTCGTGTCACGTTAAATTGAGACCACGATGTAAAAGTAGTTAGCACTGTGCATGAGATAGAGAAGACATCTAATAACTTCTTTCACTTTGTGGTTTAGATTCTAAGGAAAACAAAGAGCAGGCATGCCCCAAAATATGGAGTATGACAAGATTCTGCTTGGCTCAAGGGAAAAACAGCGTTTAGCTATGTCTATGCCAGTCCTCATTTCACTGTCTTGAATTTTCTTGCAGAATTTATAAACCAGACTTTCATCTGCTACCCCATGCTGTCACTGACATCAGTAACATCAAACATTTAATAACACTCCTCATGAATCCTAAATTTCCCACATCGATGACAACTTTTTAAAACTAAAATGACTTTGATAATGTGCTTCCTTATTTCAAGAGGAAGACGGAAAATTACGAGAGGAAGGCCAGAGGGCATTCCTGCTAATGAGAATTTTCTGGCAAAGTCTTTCAACCTGAGTGAGAATTTAGTGACCTTAAACAATCTAAGTCCTGAAGATGCAAGAGGCAGGGGGAGGGATGGATATTATATCCCAATTGTAATGATTCTTTGGTAATGTGATATCTTACTGCACACATTGACGCTATATATAATTATATACTAATGACATCCAGAATGGTGCTTGGAAACTTAAGGATGTGCCAAATATTAAGTTTAAAAAACAACCCACAGGGGCCCCTGGGTGGCTCAGTCGGTTAAGCATCTGACTGAGGCTCAGGTCATGATCTCGCAGTTTATGAGTTTGACCCCCACAGTTCATGAGTTTGAGCTCCAGAGCCTGGAGCCCACTTAGGATTCTGTGTCTCCCTCTTTCTCTGCCCATCCCCCACTCACTCCCGAGCTCTCTCTCGCTCAAAAATAAACATTAAAAAAATTTTAAAAACAACTCATAAAAGACAAAAAAAAAAGCATAAATATAAATGGGACTACATCAAACTAAAATACAAAAAAAACCAAAATACAAAACACAAAATAAAACAAAACACAAAACAACAAAAATCCCCAAAAAAACCACTTGTGCACAGCAAAGGAAATCATCAACACAATAAAAAGGCAATCTGAATATTTGTAAATCATATGTCTGATAAGGGGTTAATATCCAAAACATATAAAGAACTCATACAACTCAAAAGAAAAAAACAACTATGCTGATTAAAAGTTGACACAGGTTCAAAATAGACATTTATTTTCTAGGGAAGATGAAGAGATAGTCAACACATACCTGAAAAGGTACTTAACATTCACTGATCATCAGGGTAATTTAAACCAAAACTATAATGCGGTATCACCTCGCACCTGTTAGAATGGCTATTCTCAAAATGACAAGAAATAATAAGTGTTGGCAAGGATGTGGAGGAAAAAAAACATTTTTGCAGAGCTGGTGGGAATATAAATTAACGTAGCAACTATGGAAAACAGTGTGGCGATTCCTCAAAAATTAAAAATCGAACTACCATATGATCCAGAAATTCCACTTCAGGTATTTTTCCAAAGAAAACAAAATCACTCTCTCAAAAAAAACACCTGTTCCCCTACATTTATTGCAGCATTATTTTTAACAGCCAAGACATGGAAACAACATAGGTGTCCATAGATGGATGAAGGATAACAAAAATGTGCTATATCTATTCGACGGAGTTTTATTTGCCCATAAAAAAGGAGGGGAGCCTGGGTGTTCAGTCGTTGAGTGTCCGACTCTTTATTTCAACTCAGATCATGATCTTTCTGTTCACGGGATTGAGCCCTGCATCGGGCTCTGAGCTGACAGGAACAAACCTGTTTGGGATTCTCTCTCTCTCTCTCTCTCTCTCCCTCTCTCTGCCCTTCCCCAGGACAAGCTCAATCACTTGCTCTCTCTCTCTCTCTCTCTCTCAAAATAAATAAATAAGATTTAAAAAAGAGAAGTAGGAAATCTTGACATTTGCAACATGGATGGATCTGGAGGACATTAAGCTAAATAAAATAAGTCAGCTGGAGAAAAACAAACACTGTATGATCTCACTTAACCTTAAAAAACAAAAATCCCAAAACCACAGAAAAAGAAAACAGATTGGTAGTTGCCAGAGACAGGGATGGGAGAGTTGTCAAAATGGGTTAAGGGGTGAAGGCGGTCAAAGGTACAAACTTGTAGTTGTAAGATAAAAGTTCTAGAGTACATCATGTACATCATGGGGACTACAGTTAACAAAACTGTGTGGCATATTTGACTGTTGCTAAAAGAGATCTTAAAAGTTGTTATCACAAGAAAAATCTTCTTGTGTGTGGTGATGGACGTTAACTTACTGTGGTGATCATGTGCCAAATCATATGCTGTACATCTAAAACTAATACAATGTTAAACATCAATTATACCTCCATTTTTAAAAGTCTACAATGAGCAATATATCTTAAGCATGTAAAACTTCCATTAAACCGGTCTCTGTAATATATACAATTGCCACTGGATTCTCTTCTTCAGACTCCTTCTCATTCACTCTCCCCTTCAATTGCTGGAAGCCACAGAACAGGTCATGGACCATCAGCTCCATCTCTAGTGTTAACCTAATAATCTCAGCAAAAGTCTGTAATTTTTAAAAATATTAAAACATGCTAATGATTCTACCTTAACCTTCCTTCATCTCCAAAGTCATTTATTCAATTGACTGCTGGGCACATTCACTTAGGTACTTCGAGTTTAAAATGCCCAACATAGAACTTAACTTCATACCTTCCCACACGAAATACTTCCTAATCACCACCACATAAAGTGGTAAAACTATGCAACCAGTTTCTTCTTTCTATCCTTTCTCCTTACCTCCACATTCTATCCGTTACAAACCAATACATGCCCAATTTGTCCATTTCTCAGGATCCCTTCTGTCATCATTTGATTCCAAAATGCCTACACTAGAATTATCAAAAGTCTCTTTGTAAGTGGTGACCCAGCACTTTTTAACATAGATGACATTATTCCCAACTTTTAAAATCATGAAAGGGATCTTCCTGTAAGACCTTGGAAGTTACCACCTCCAAAAAAGTTTCTAATTCATAGAGGGTCATGTGTGTGTGTGTGAGAGAGAGAGAGAGAGGGAGAGAGAGGGAGAGAAGTCTTACTTTTAAATGTCAAAATTATTTTGAAAACTATTTTAAATATTTAAAGAGGGGGTACTTCTAGGTATAAAAGAAATGAAGTAGAGGAAGAGGAGGTTAAAAGTTAAAAATTCAAAATAAGGAAAATGAGAATAAGCAAACAGATGGAAATTATGACAATTTTAAGAGATGGCATTCTTAAATATCAGATCACAGTAGTGATAAATTCACAGAATTAACTGACTCAGTGTTTTAAAACATCTGTGGCAAACTTCAGCTCAAAAGTATATGGTGCACCTGGGTGGCTCAGTCGGTTAAGCATCTGACTCTTGATTTCGGCTCAGGTCATGAACATCACAGTTCATGAATTCCTGTCCCATGTCACACTCTGCACTATGAGATCACAGAGCCTGTTTGGGATTCTCTCTCTCCCTGTATCTCTCTGCCCATCCCCTGCTCATGCTTGTGTGCTCTCTCTCTCTCTCTCTCTCTCAAAATAAAAAACTTTAAAAAAAATTATTTCATATAATAATTTGTGGAATTTTAATGATAGAGGGAATAATATGTTCAGTCATTACCGATCTTTCACTTTCAGGTTATTCTGGAAAAATGAAAAGGTTCAGACTCATTCCCATCTAAAAATAACTTTTACAAACCCAGAAAAAGTTCCTTTTTATTGAGCTACAATTAGGAGTCTAGGCAGACAATTAGCCTCAGCATTTTGTTGTTGTTATTGTTGTTCTTTGCTTAGTGTATCAAATTGATTCAACACAGTTATTTGTAAGGTCAGGTATGAGAGTTCTTATGGGTTGCCACCATAGACTTGAAAGTTGAAACTACTAAAAATCCACACTTAGAAGATGAGAAGTCTAAGTCTGGGAAAGGGAACGTGATCTGAGTATAATCTGTGAGGGGTGGCACTGGAAAGCAACTGCAGTTTAATAGTGAAAACATACTGAACCTTGAGCATATCATTAAGACTGCTCTATGGGGCAGGCATTCTCCTACTGCACACTGTATACATACTCATAAGAAGACAGACCATAGACCCTATTCTTGTGGAGTTTGCAAGTTCTACTCTGTCTAGAAAAACACTTTAGGAGGAAAAGAATCATAGTGCCTTAAAAGAAAGCTTTCAACCTAAATAACCATCAATATTAATTGTGAACTTCAAAAAATACTGATGCCCTAGTCTGATTCATAACTCCATAGGAGATCCTAATGAGGCCAAAGTTGAGAATCATCACCTATTTGTACAAGTCTAATTCTTAGCACTAACACTGAAAGTACTGTGGGATTCTGGTTTTCATTTCACAAAGTTTTAAGGCATATTTTCCTCACTCTAAGTGAATAAATAATAATGAAACAAATAATGCTTTCTCCCAGGCTCTGGGACAAATTGGATTCTTAGTATAATAAATAAGTACCATGAAGGTCAGGCTACAAAGGAATTGAGATCTCAGTAATAAGTATAATTCAGAGTTGAAATATTCAAGTCTTGTTGCAATATACAGAAGACAAAGGATTTTTTTCCCACGGTGAAAAATACAGTCTCCTAAATGTGAATCACAAAAGGCAAATAATACAACAGGAAAAAAAAAAGATTAAAAAATACAGGCAG